TCTAGCGAATCTGCAACGTAGCCATCCTTAGCGTTTTCCGAACGCCATCTACCGTGGCGCTTAAACATTCTATCAGAGATACCACCATTAGCGGCGGCAGATGCACCGCCACTTCTGAAGCTGTGCCAAGAGAAAGACTTAGGATCTAAGCCTACGTCTGCAATCTTCTTCAGTAAAACTTCTCTACATCTTGTGTAAGACAGTTTGGAGCCTGGGCGGATGGACTGAGAGCCAGACTTGGTTTGAATATTTCCGAACAAATAGTCGTCTCCACCTTGGGAAGACGTCGGTAACGTGAGTTTGGCTTGCGATAAATACTTCTCTAAATTACCCCAGGGGCAAAGATCCGTGCCAGACTTGACAATGGGGACAATAGCGCCCTCGCGATATTGATCAGTTTTACTGCTTTCTATGAAAAGTTCAAAATGAGTGTCATGCAGCGCTAAATCCTTAAGCTTCAGATTAGCCAATTCATCAAATCTTAAGAACCCCGCAAAGGCCAATAACGCCATGGCCATGAATCTTGTGTCCACCAAAGATCCATCGAGACTCTGAAACAACTTTGGTAAAATTTCGGGTGTAATGGGGAGCTTTTGGAAGTAAGGTGTAGTAGCCTTCTCTTAGCGGACTCCACGACCTTCAGGGGAAGTGTATGATTGGTAGGAGAGTCGAAACCAGCAATATCATGAGCCCAGCGAATGCTATAGAAGGCGTTCTGGACCGGCGCAGGAGAACTAGAAGCCTGGAGAACACTGAGCAGGTATAAAGAAACATAAACCGGAGTAGCAGGCAGCACTGCGACCTCGGGAAATCTGTTGGCCCAAGCACGCCATCGCTTAAAACCGTTGAGGTAGGTGAGAGTAGTGGAATCTGCCCTGGAACCAAGGACTATCTCCGGTAGCTTTTCTGCTAAGCAGCGTAGGGAGGGAGCTTTGACATCGTTAAGCTCAGCCCAGATAGGGCTAGCGAAAACATCTGAAAATACAGAAGAAATAGAAGACCATATGGATTCAATGTAAGGACTTAAAAAAGGAAAGATGCACGAGAAAAAAAGGAGCGGTAAAAGGAAACGCACGTAATAATTATGTAGATATAACTATCACACAGGTACATAAGATAACAAGAGAGCGACCACCGAGGCGCACTCGACCATATATATGGGGGACCTGGAAGGATTAAAAACTGACCGAGGTCACACAAAAATGTAACGGTACGACCCATCGGGATCAGTGAAGGTACAAACAAGGTCACCGAGACCCGCATAAATGCCACCGAGGCAAAAGAAAAAAACAGAACAAATCAGTCAAAATAATAAACCACACTTTAATATAGGCTAAACAAGGTAACTACACGTAACTGCGGAAAGGAAACTAAGCCTAGAAGAACAAAACTAACAAGCCGACAAACGGACGGCTAATACATGAGACTTAAATTTAGGGCCATCAAAAATAGACTCTGTAGAGCCCGGAACAAAAATATTAGAAACATTGGTAAAAACAATGGTCTCTTTAACGCAAACGGAAAAAGGGGGAATGGGGACCAAAGAGCATGGGCCAAAATGGAGCTGAGACCCACTTGGGGACAATAAGAGTGCCCATAGACCTACATACAAACAAATGCCTAATAACCCGGGGAACAAGGGACACTGGGGGAACAAGCCAGTTATTCTCCCCCGCCCAGTCAAAACAAAAGGCATCCACCCCCTCCGAGTCAGGATTCCAGAAACGGGAAAAGAATCTGGGTAATTTGCGGTTATGGGAATGGGCAAAACGATCTACGGAATGTGGACCCCAAATGTAGTCTACATGGTGGAAAAATTCAAACGAAACACCCCAGTCATCAAAATCAACGATCCTACTTATGGCATCAGCGTGCTCATTGAGAGACCTAGGAATCCAGTCCACCTGCAAATCAATACCATTTCGCAAAACTAGTTGAAAAATAGAAAGGGAAATTTCGTGCAAATCCCGCTTCATACTCCCGTTGCGAATAATGGACGGAATGTTGCGGTTATCCGTGAACCATTGAACTGCGCGCCCTGACAAAACTACGGAAAAACTAGAGAGACAAATATAGACTGCCTTAAGCTCACGCCACGTGGAGCTGCGAAACATTTCATTAGCAGGTCCACGGAAGATGACAAATAACACCCTGGTGGTCTTTAACAACACCGCCAACCCCTAAGTCACTAGCATCTGAATAAACAATGGAACGAGAACATGAAAAGTGACGCCCAATGGGCCTCCCATTCAAACACCGAACGTTCTCTTTCCAGAAAAAAAGCTCTTCTTTGACAGAATCGGACAAAGGAAACCTAGAGTCCCAACTAGGCTGAAGGACGATGGACATATGAATAAACTTTGTCATCAATGTAGTAACATTACCTACAGCTAGTTAAAAGGAATTAATACGACCAGCAAGAGCGGACAGTTCCCTGGCGGTGCAACAATTAGCCTCTAAAAGGGAATCAATATCAGAAACAACCCGCTTGAGCTTTATCCCCGGAACAAAAAGCAAACCCTGAAAAAGATCAATGGTGAAACCCAACCAATCAAGGACTGATGTAGGAACCCAAACAGATTTCTCGAAGTTGGGTACAAAGCCAGAACGAACCAAATCAGTCTTAACCCTGGTGGAATGGGCTAAAGCAACCTGATATGAAGGCCCCTCCCCTAAACCATCATCAAGATAAACAACAATGTGAATACCATCCCGCCTCCAGTAGGCAACGAGAGGCCTAAAAATTTTAGTGAAAACAAAAGGGGCTGAACAGAGGCCGAAGGGCAGGACCCTAAAACAAAAATAACGGACCTTACCCTGATAAACCCAGGAAAAACCCAAAAATGTCTGGTGGGGCGGGAAGATAAGCACATGATGATAACCGCTCTTAATGTCAAATGAAAACATGAAATGACCCTTGTCAAAATAATTTAGAGCAACCTTAAGATCCTCAAACGTGACCTTTTGCTTCCAGACATGCTTATTTACAAACCTAAGATCCAAAATCAACCTCTTTTTCCCAGATGACTGAATAGAAACGGAAAGAGGGTTGACGTTATGGGGCAGCACCTCCGATTCAAAAATGCGATTGGTAACCAACAATTCGGAAATAGCTTCGTTAACAAAATCAGAATGAGCCAAAGCTGACTTATTATTACTAGAAAAACTAACAGGGGGTGTAGAGTGGAAAGGAATACGATAACCATGCTCGATAACATCTAGAATAAATTGACTGGCACCTATAGAACGCCAAAACTGAATATGGGATTAAGCCTACCGGCTACAACGATAGTAGAACTACGACCCTGTTCATATTCAAAAAAGTCAAAATCATCCTCAACAAAGTTCCTTAACTTATCTGTGTCCTCGACGAATGCACCAACATCCCAGTCCATCACGTACGTTTCCCAGGTTGGCTAGCTGAAAACTGCGTCTGAAGGACGGGGCACTGATTCCTGAAATGGCCGAAACTGCCACAAGCAAAGCAACTGCCAACACGCGAACCACGGTGAGCCTTAGGCCAATTGACAGCACCGAACGGATTCGAAAAATTAGAACCTGGTAGAGAAACGGCAGGATAAGAAGGAGAGACTGGAGTGCCGTAACCAGAAACGACGTAGGGCAGCGAGGGAACTGGCGGAGTGGAGGGCTTTTGAGGACGGAGAGACGAACTCTTCTTCGCCAATTGAGCACGCCGGCGTTTCTGTGAAGCCCTTACTTCAGCCTGCCTTATACGCTTGTCATCGTCGCTGTCATCAGCAAGATCCCGACGCTGGTACTCGTTTACGACTTCCCACCCCTCCTCGGAGGAATCGGCAATAAGGATGAGCTTATTACGATGAGAGAGCTTCTTCTCACCTTCCTTTAACTCTTCCAAGGCCTTTTCAACTTGAGGCGAAGACGCCTGAAGGGCGGTCGAAGCAGAACGAACGTGTTCAAGAACTTCAGAATTAAGTAAGAACTGCTTTTCGTTGCCTTTCTTTTTAAATTTCGGAACACTAGCAGTAGCTGTCTTGAGCTTCTTCAGCGCAGCGTCGTGTTCTTGTGCAAGTTCTCTCTTTAAAGAAGATAAACCAGAACGAAACTCGTCTTTGAGCTCGGAAATGCTTCGCGCGAGATCAGCATCGGACGGCATTTTAAAAGTTAATAGTTCGAGAGCTGAGATGAATACATTACAACTGTCAAAACCTTATATACCTAATAACAATAGAGTCAATTAACGCCATAACGGCTCACGTGCGTTCATACCAATAGGAAAGTATTTACATTCTCTGTCACTGCCACTACGTTTAGCTCCGCCGAATGTAAATACATTTTACACGCACCCAGATTTGTTGGCAAGATTTTGCAAAGTAAACTTGTCGAACGCCAAAACGTTGGCCTGATTTTTTTCTAAGCCTAATTGATCTACGGTGATCAATAGCCATTACGGCTCTTAAATGTGATAAAAGATGATTACCAGTTTTTGAGTGTACATATGAGGCTATCAACTCGATGTAAGATTTGGTTCACTCTTGGGCTGTTTGCAAATTATTTTTCTCTAAAATCAGGTAGCCTTTCCCTCAAAAGTCACATAAATGTGCTGTAAAGTTAACTGAATTGTGGAATTCGAATACAAGTTTATTGTTTAATTTAAATTATAAATTTACTAATGGGAGCCTCGCTTTTAGCCCTGGCTAAATCTATATATTAAACATACATGCTCAACCTTTGTTTCCGAATTTCTTTAGTTTTACGATGACACTGATCCGAGAGCTGCACCTTTTACTGCTACTCTGTTGTGGCATTTTGATCTCGTTCCTGCACCAGCGACAGCTTCTGTTCGCCCAAAGAAAATTGCAAATAGCGAGGAGATAGACGAAACACTTCCACCCTTGAATCTTGATGTGCCATCATCATGCAATTGTTTCGATCACGAGAATCGTCTTTGTCTCGCCAGTTTTCACTCTCACCGAGATCCAGAAGACGAGGATGGAGAAGAAAGGATTGTTGATCCACTGATGGACCTACTCATTAACTCAGAGGACGAAGAGGATGAATCTGACAGTGATCCCGATAATTCAGAGCCGGAGCATGAAGCTGATACCGGTCCTAGCACCGAGGAGCAGGAGTTTGTGGAATATTCCCTATCATTGGGTCAAACTGGGAGGAACGATACCAGGAAGGTCTTAACAAGTGTTATGAACTGAGAGTTAAAAAGGAAACGGTTCCAATCAGAGTTGAACAAGAACCTGAGAACATTGCAGATTGTAATGCACTAAAATTTGAGGTTCTTGCGGATGGAAAATGGTTTATCCTGGGGTATTGTGGGGTGAAAAAAATTCCAAAACTTAAAAAAGCCCTGCACCATGGTCAAGTCATGTCTATAGAATTGTGTACGCTTAAAAGAGTATGGTATCCAGTCATTTCAGAGTTTAGATTCTAAGGAGGACTGAACATTGTGAAAAAGGGGAGCTGGGAAAAGGATGATCCATACAATGTTTACAATTCAGTAATTGACATTAATATTAGAAGAAGCTGAATACTGTTCCACAGCCACAGATTCTATTACTCATTTTCCATTCCAAATGTAGCTTAGATAATAATATAAGATATTAAATTTTTCAGTAAGCTGGGTACATGATCTGAAAAACTATACAGGTTAAGAAGGATTTTCTTAGGAAAATCATATAACACCCTCTGAAACCTGTGTAATTTCTCAATACCACACTTAACCCAATAGTGCAAAATATATGAAGGCTAAGGACTAAGTACCTGCAATTTATTAAAAGGTGTTATTCTAAAACTACTGTACCAAGTGTTTCTTGGTGTTGTAGAAACTGTTGATGTTGTGGTCAATCTTTTCATATTACATCATTTTGCGATTGTGGCTATGCACAACATCAAGAACCTAATTTTTTCAGCTTAATACCACTGTAGCAATTTTTGTTGAAGTTCGATGTCAATGAAAAATGAAAAAACATATAACTTTTGAATAACAATAACTAACAGGCAAGTTTTTCCTTCTAACATAACCACATCAGGGGGTCACACAAAAACTGAGGCTTGATGCCGATTATCAGTGGCACTGGTAAACTGAACACTGCTGTAGTAGCTTACACATGGATTGATGACATTAATGTAAACTGTCGAACAAAATTGTTTGGAAAAGACTGGGAAGGACCAGCCTTAAAAGGATAATGTTGGAAGCATTGACTGATTTCTATCTTTGTCAAAAGCAATGTGCTTGTAAATGTGAATTTCAAAGGGCAAAGTTGTAAAAGTTTTAGGATTATTTACACAAGCCTTACAAACTTATCAGCTTGTGAATAAACAGTATAAAATATCGCCGAAACAATAGCTATAATATTCTCTAGTGATAACATGAAAGAACAAAATAATTCCAAATCTCAGAGCAAAACAACTCAGCTATGTATACCTGATCACATCTTATTGGAAAGAATGTACAAATTTGCTTTGAGTTTCAGAACCTTTTTTCTTTCAAGTTAAAAATATCTTCCCCATGAATAACTTACCCAATGAGGATCGCCGGACACAATAATACTACATATAAAATTGCTAACAAATGTACAAAATGCATTTTTTAATCAAAGTTCTTGCTTCTTCTTTTGGTAGTAAAAACAAGGATAGTCGATACTACAGTTTTATTAGTGTTAACAGCTAAAGCAACTGAAGAGAACCTTTTAATATTGCAGTGGACAATTTTCCTGACATAATTCACCAGAACCTCCCTGAATGACCCATCATTTTGAACAGTGAGTTTAACTGCACTATAGAGGAGGAACCAAAGGCAAACGTTATTTACAAAGCACATCTTCAGATTCTTAAAGGACAGTTGAACAAAGTTTGTACAGCAAGGTAATTGCAAAAACCATGAAAAAAGTACCACAACTTCAAAAAGGGCTGACGGTAACAGGAACTGTAGGGGAATTTGCTTCATTAACTGTAGAAGCAAATTCTGGTTTAAAACCCTGCTTGGGCATGGGGGGGAGTGGGGGGGGCGGCTTCCGGGCCTTTGCTTTTACAAGACTATGTTCAACTACCTTAGGGCATACTTCTAGGATCGGGGAGTTGGGCCAGTGGTCGGTGTATTTGTTGCCGGATGCTGGTCTGATTTCGTGCAGGCAGAAAGGAACGACCTGCACAAATGATGGATGCATCCTCTCTACGATTGATGCGCAGGTGATGTAATCGCAGTGGATGACAATTCGGGTCTTGGTTGTCTTCAACCCCATCAGGAAGCTGGTCAAAGGATGTCGACTGATCCTCATCTCTGAACTTTTCATTCAAGGTACAATAATAGAATGGAAGGTCTGGCAACATTCTCTTTGTAAACTCCCTAAAAGTTGCCAAAATAAGTAATCATTATTGTTTAGTCCAAGTTCACTCTTTGCATAATGTTGGCCATGTACTGGACTTTTTTTTCTGTACAATTAAATGCATTACAGATGAAATGTGTTGATGTTGCTTGTTAGCATTCTACATGTTCAACATTAGTATTACATCTTACTGTAATCAAAAATACAACAGTTGAACGAGTGGGTCAAAAAAAGCCTTCAATGTTATGTGAATCTTCAAATGTTTTTGAAAATTTCCGAAGGGACAAACTTACTGAAAAAAAAAAATACTGACACCAGTGCACACACCTTACAATGTTTCTCCATCTTGATTTAAACTGCTTCAGAGTGAAAACAACACCAAGAATCCTGTGGAAAAAGGCAATGATGGCCTCTACGTCATCCGTTGAGCCTGCCCTTGGATGTTCCTCATATCCAATCTCATTGTTCTGACACCTTCGAAATTCCATACTTTCTATATTGGTTGTCACAGGCACAACCGTTTCACGTGAAAAGCCACATATTTCCTTTACAGGCCTAAAAAGACAAAAACCAAACAAGCAAGTTACACCGTGACGATTAATAAAATAATAATGAGATAGTATGCACACTTTGATTGGCTGAGAGGAGTGTTTGCATGAGAGTTATGTAGACATGGTTGTGGCATCAAGATGTTTTGCTTTTCGCACTAATCACGCAAGCACGAATTTGAAAAAGTTTTTGAGTTCAAAACTCGACAGTTATGCAAACCCTCAACTTCGTCTCAGGTTTTCATAACTATCTCGAATTTTCCCAACCCCTCTCGTGTTTATATCGGGCTATGCAAACACGGAAAACGTTTTCTATTGCTTAAATGTAAAGGATTCCAAGGGAGAAATACATGTGCACTTACGATTTAGTTCAAAGATGAAATATGTGGACCCTAGGACATGACAGTAATTGTCAAATGCTACACAGATACATGTAGTAAAAACCAGTGTGGGAAGACTGAAGAAACCCACAAAGTCATGAAAGGAAATATACCTCATTTTTCAAAATACCTGTTGATGTCAATGGATCTGAAGTCATAAACTTCCCTATGCCAAGGCATCCACTCATCTAAAATTAAGTTCAGCATTGCATAATTTTTTTTGCAACGTTCAAGCTGTGAGATGCCACGCCCATCTAATGTTTCTTTGTCAAAAGGAGGATACAAAGTGTGTAAAATGACCTTTCATAAGGTAACAAAGTTTTCTGAGACCGAAAAATTAGGGGTAATGATTTTTACCAATAAAGAAACAGTGGCGATATAACACATTTAGCACTCGGTATTCAACATCAAACTATTTTGCAAAAAAATCAGTACTGTATAGTGAGCAAAATGCCCCAAAATAAAGTAAACAGTTGTGTTAACTTGCACTGGTTTAATTGGCCTACAATGAAAAACTTCCAAGTGAGAAAATAACTATCCCACATCAATAATGACAACAATGAATCATATGCTTTCACTTTTATTTATTAGTTACCTCCTGTCTTTTTCAGCATTGAAGACAATGTCTTCTCACTTTGTCGACTAACAATTTCCTTGGCATCATGGATGATCTGCTATGTGTAGTGGCCGAGTTGAACCCTGGGTCCGGAGACTGTTAAACTCGCCATCACTAACAGCACCTACCAGAATGTTCAACCAACATTCACTTAATTTTTGTGAAATATAAACAGTGCTGCATTCTGCATTTAGTGGAAAACGCCACCAATATATTTTAACACAAGAATGATAAGTCAACAAAAGGAATAATTCTGCTGCAATGAGGTGTCAATGTTCAAATAGATGAGAACTACTTTAACAGCCCTTTGCTAATCTTTAAACATAAGAATATAATCTCATCTAACGTACCAACTAGCTTTAAATCCAACTCCATCATTTTAGACTTTATGGCATCAGCCATATCTCTGACATACTGGTCTTTGGTGCTTTTGTCAAGATGTATTGAACTGGCAGAGCATATGGTTTCTTGTTTCGCCGCTCATTGCTCACCAACAACAAAAGAACATGGGTTGTCCCAGGCTGTCTCTTTTTGACAAATACGTTCCTGAGGTACGTTAAAGCGTCATGTTCAACATTTTGTAAGGCTGTGACAACATCCTTCTCCCTTGGGGCTTGCTGGCACAGACATGCTTTCATTGTTTCATATTTCTCAATGAAACACTGTGCTTGCTGCAACAGCATGTTGAATTCTACCCTCTCCCAACAAAGAGCCTTCAACAACTCTTGGGATGTATTCGGGGCATTAAATTTCTTGGTATATGCGTCTTGAGCAGCAAAAAGACCATCAGCAAGGAACGTAACATCCACATAGAGACAATCAAGCAGCTTTTGTAACCGTGCCATGAGATGGTCTTTACTTGATAAAAGGTCACTGGCTTTACAAAGAGACTTTCTTTGCTGGTATTCTTGGTGCAGCAGGGCTACTGTCTGATCACCCAAGTCAATGTCGCCATTCCACTGACCCTTTACTGACTCTTGCAAAGCAACCTTGATGTCGAAGGCATCTACCTTTATCCAAAATCTTCCCTTGGGATTGGAAACTTTTAACTGTTTCAGAGTCTCAATCTACAGGACAAATAAAAAAGGAGATATCGTTTAGGATATCTGAACGGCAGATACCGGTATTATGACACGTTCAAAGACTAAATATCAGTCTGGAATATCCCTGAATTTAAGGACAGGGCCAACTGGTCACAAGCCACTTTTCAACCAATGAGATGGCGCGCTTGTGTTTATCAACAAACAAATCAAAACATCGCCCCAGTGATCAAAAATTTTCAAAACAACGGACGGAGTCGGACAGAATTAAAGATGAGCTTACAGTACTCGTCTAGGTTTCACATTTAATATTTCAGAGAAAACATGTCATGTAAGAGAATATAGAGCATTAATCATTGCAAGGAATCATTGGGGTGTTCGAACTGATTCCGGACCGATCGCAGAGGTCATGGCTTCACTGGCATGGCTTGCAAGATTTTTGATAGAAGCAAACTCGTCCCGTGTAAAAATAGCCTTAGAGAGAGTGTGAAAATTTGTTGAGATCGTACAAACAGCATTGGTACTACCTATTAACTTCTACAGGACAAGAATCAAAGAACCAGTCATCATAACCAGAATAGAAAGTAGTTGAAATTTATTAATTTTTCTTGTTTGTTTTTTTGTGTTGTTTCGTGTTGACTTCACGCATCTGGTGCTTTCCTTACTTGCTGTAGTACCTGCAACGTTTTAATTTTATCCCAGATAATCAGTGCATGTTCAATGAGTAGCAAAATACAGCATGGCAATTGAGATTTGCCTTGTTTCTTTGATTGTTTTTTAACGGCGGATGAACATTTGGAGAATCCAACAACATTAAATCTTTCCAGATTAGTGAATTTCAGAAACAAAGCAGTTAGTATCTACCTTGCGCTTGTGATCTTCAATTTCATCCCCGCAAATTTGGCAAAGTGAGGCGAGATGTTGGACGTGAATATCCATAAGACTAATAAAGTTGTTTTGGCCTCGAAAAGAAAAAGGGCAAAGGCTCGTACTTATGCAAAGAAAAGTAATAACACGGCTTTTGTGAGAAACCCGGGAGTGGAAAACCTACGTGTTTTGGACCTCGGAATTCAAAAATTGTCTACCAAAACTCTAGGTTGTCTGCCACCCCCACATTCAACATGATAAAAGTTAATCGATATGACAATCGAGGAAAAATATCTAGAACTTCGTAAAAAATCTGTGAATCGAAAAAATAATAGATACAAGTTGTTCACCTACCTTGAAAGCCGACCAACATCTCTCCTATACATCGCGTTGTTTAAAAGATAAAAGAAGAATAAGCCACTAAATGTGCTGAATATTTCACGAGACACTTCCAATATGGCTTCCGATACGCTGTCCACTTAAAAAAATTGTGTATGCCTCATGAAAAGTCTTAAAAATATGCCTGAGAACCTCGAAACGATGACTGATTCTGTCCGACTCCGTCTGTTGTTTTGAAAATTTTTGATCACTGGGGCGATGTTTTGATTTGTTTGTTGATAAACACAAGCGCGCCTTCTCATTGGTTGAAAAGTGTCACATGACCAGTTGGCCCTGTCCTTAAATTTAGGGATATTCCAGACTGAATATTACATTTCATTTAAAACGTGAAAAAAAAAATGAAAATGTATCTACCTTTTCAAAATTCTACAAGTGAAAGGCAACATTTTGAAAGAAAAATATTTCACCAGTATCTACAATATTTGTTTTTCAAAGTAGTAGCATTAAATACCTGTATTTCTGGTTTGTCTGAGAATGCAGAGGAAGCATTGTTCTTCTGGACAGTTATTATACTGGGCGATGCAACATTGAGTCTGGCCTTGTAAGCAAAGCATTATTCATTAATATTTATACATCTTTATAATCCAAATGTTACATCTATTTTAAGTTACATTACATATCATTATTGCAAGAAAAGCAAACAAACAAGGGGACAAAACAAGGAGATCAAAAATCACCTACACTGCAGTGCTCCAAGCCTTAGTTTTGTTGATGTTTACTTATGTCACAGTCAACAAACGTGAAATACTGTTTGGTAAAGACCACTTTGCACATGACGACCGAACACAGGTCGCCAAATTGGTGACTTTTGCTACAAGTTTAGTCACCAAATTATTGTTCTAATCACCATGGCCACCAAAACAGATGCATCTTGGAGCACTGCACCGTAGTAAATGAAAGAGGAACCAAATTTTGACCTCGCATGTCTTACAGGGTGCTTTTTAGCAAATAGGCTTTGTCTGACTAAAAACTTAAAGAAGAGATTGATGTTCTGAAACCACTTATGTATAGCAAAATAACACCACATTATTAATTGTATGTGAAAGTATTAAACTAGCCTCATTATGTTGATTTAATAATTATGCAACTTAAGAGGAATAAAAATCAATGTATCATAGAATATCATACTTACTGTAAGTGGATCTTTTTGTAAATTTGGTGGCAGTCCACTCCAGATAGGTCCCTGAAAAAGCCTGCTGAATCTGGATGGGAACTCGGCACACATTGTTTCATACCAGGTCTGGTAATCTTCTGGCACTGATATCTAAATTACAAGAACACATACAGCATCATAATTAATAAACTTTCACAATTTTTTGTTATTCATTTAGTGCAGGCTGAGAGGCAAATACTCGTACATACGTGCAACAACCGAAGTACCACAGGCTATAAATACGGCATTTCTCCTGAGTTGTATAGTGTAAGCTATACATTTGCAAATTCATCTGACAATAAACCTACCCCCATAATATTGGTGGCAGAAAACAATTCGATCTGGTACTACACCATGCCAAAAGGCATTCTGTTTATGGGAAATAGGCTGTCATTTGATCCTGGTCTGTTTGATGAGATGCACAGGGCAAACTTGTAGATCAAATTGTTTTTGCCATTATCTTGCAATCTCTTCATTGCATGCATTGCAAGTTCTGCAAAGTTCAGGGACCGCGGAGCAAGGTGAAAAGTGGGAGGGCTGACAACTGAAAATAATTTTTTTATATTGAAAATCGAAAAAAGGAATGAAATCATAGTATTTGATTTGTTTCTGTCGCGTGACTTTGTATACTTTATCCAGTACTTGTTGTCGTCTTTTCTGCAGAGCTCACAGACTTTGACGAAGTCCCAGATAACTCTAATAAACGACCAACATACACGGTCAGTTCAGATTCAATGCAAGAAAAGACGCGATTACAATTTTAGTATAGAAAATACTACACTGAAGTGATCTGAAAAATTTCTAACTATGGCCGTCCACTGTTCAAGTAATGTAATTCTTCTTGCCATCGAATATTTCATTGATTCGAAAGGAGAAAGACAAAATATAAAACTTTTATCAACTCAAAACAACTACTCACCTTCGTTTGGCTTGAAAAAGCTAGTAATTTTCTTCATTTCGTCTGATAAAACTGATAAAAAAAAACTCTGCCGGAGCTGGAAGTACAAAACACGCTGCCGAACGAAGCGAAGGGGTGGCCAAGGCATGGCGTTTGATCAAGGGGCAAGTCGGCCCCAGGGCACAATTACCGCTAAAAGCACAGGAGCCCCACAAAATGCCTGGCGTTTGAAATCAAAGAAAATACCGAGAATATAGCGGAATATAGACGGAAAAAAACTTGTTTCAAGTCTTTTTTTTATTTTAATTATTTCTCTTTTTAGCGCAAAAAGTGGGGGCGGGGGCGCAAAAAAGTGGTGGGGCCGCGGCCCTACCAGCTCCTCCCCCTCCGCGGCCCCTGAAGTTTGCAGGATTGGAGTTTATTCCATTTTGTAAAGCAATTTCCAGAAAGGCAAGATTAGCAAGCTCTACCAACTCTGCACTATCCAACCCAGCCATTGAAGACTTCAACATCATTGGATTTTTTGACTCAGCTACGTACATCATGTATTTCACTTTGTTCCCCAGAAAGGGTTTGGGTCACTTTGTCTACAACTTTTACTGGCGTTCTTTTCTCACTGTCTCTACTCTGTTCCATTTCCTCTAAGTAGTTGCTCAGTGTCAGATTGTAATGCTCCTCTGCTGCGTCTAATGTTCTAAAATTTGCCTTCACATGATTCAGCAATCTAGCCCGCACTCTTGTGTCTAGAGAAGGTCATTACACAAAAATCATTACCAAGATGGATCCATAAGACTGCCATTTAATGTATATGTTGTAGTTAATTTTTTTTATCTCAGGTAATTTTAATCTTTCTTTTGTTTCAACTTCATTAGCGTACATTACCATACCCACAAACAAATAAAAACAAAAATTACCCGAGATAAAAAATTAACTACAACATCTATTCTAACAGACAAGACATTGTTACAATATATGCAAGTACTGTAGATAAACTTCTATTATCAAAAATGTAAAGAAGCCATTTGGTGCGAACAGGTGCATCAAGGCTGGAAGAATAAGTGAAATACTTTTCAGTGTACTTCAGAAACAAGAGGCGAAATGTTGTGAACTTTTCAAAAAAGATTTATCTATAGTTCAAAATATTAATGCCGTGAACTTATCAAAAAAATCACAGGAAGCTTGAAAGACTTCTGATTAAACCACAACCAAGAGGACACAGACAATTTGCCACTACAAGAGTGAATATTAAAAACAAAGTTGTTCCACTCACTGGAAAGAACTACACTGGAGGAGGTGCTTGCTTGTATATGCTTAGCAGCATCTGCTCAGAAAGTATGACCTGGACGAAATGCAGGCCATACACATTCGGACGTACTTTGGCCATATTTTGCATCCATTGACGCTAGCCCAACAAATTCCACCAAGGCCCTTTCCTCCACCTGTGCAACTGCACAGGTGATTTAATGGCCGACACAACCAGAGGTGATTTTTTTAATGCCCGAGCTGATAACCTAGGAAAAGATAACAAAAAAGCTACATGTATGCAACTGTGCTGACCCAGAAGACCAATTGATTTTCCTTGAAGAATAAAAAAGCTCAATTGCATGTTTATAGCAAAAAGCACAAGTCAATTTCCAAGTCAGACTGTTTCCAAGTTAAAACAGAATACAATAACACAGGAATAAATAAATTTTAAGTAACATTAAAAAAGGAAAGACACTTTGTAAGTTGAAACTACGAAAGAACTCAGATCAACTTCTCCGCATTTAAGAATGCACAAGGTTAAATGACACAAGGAACAATAACAATAAGCTTAAGTAACCTTGATGCCCGGACTTCCACCAGAGCGCCTCCTCTGTATCTTCGGACTAACTAAGCCTCCAATGTTTACTGGTGGTTCTAGATTCTCAAGATTCTCTACATTCTCTGACGAAAAGTCGAGAGGTCCTCTGATGTTTCTTCTCGAATCTCGTGCGCGCTTCTCACCAGGTTTGTTTGGCGTGTTACCACTTGCTGCGTGGCTCCTTTTTTTGGAGTCCATTGTCCAATAAGATTCGCAGTAAAATACCCCATTATTCACCGCTCGATCCTTTAACGCATTCATTACAAAAAAACAGTGAAAATCCGTTCAAACACATCCATTTTGAAAGTAAAAAATGATTGCTATGGTAAGACAACGCTTTCGAAAGCGCTCAACCGATTGAGGCCTTCAGCAGACTTAGCATATATTCCCACACGTGGTGTTGAAATGTGTTCGGGGATACAAAATTTGAGTGATTTTTGGCCGCTTCAAAAGTCCTTAAAATGTGGGTACTTCTGGGTACTTCTTTGCTTGTACAATTATCAGGACTTCATTTCGCTAGCGTGAAGCCCATATTAGGAAAAGATCATCAAATAAACCAACAAAATGTGAATATTCATGACCTATCTACGGCTCATTAAATACTTTGTTATGCAAAGGCTCCGTAAAACAATCAAATCAAAGGTTTCTATATGGATGTTACGTTATTGAACAATTGGATATCAGAGAAATCATGTCAAATAACAAAATAATGCAATTTTCTTACCTTAGAAAATTAAAGAGGCCGGCGAGAAAACGGCGTTATTTCACGCTGGAATCCGCCATAACTGCGAAGGTGCGTGATGCGCCGAGAAAATTGCATCATGGGATACTATTCGGCAGGTGGGAAGGTGGGTGGCAGTTGGGTGGTAGGTGACAGTTTTCTTTCTTTTGTTCGATAATTATCTTACGAGGTTCTAGACCCGGGCGGGGGTTACTACCATATGTGGGCTACATAGGTATGTGCCGCTGTGAAGGGTATGGTTTTCAAGCCGTTTACTCTAGGATAGAGTATAATCAGAGCGTTTGGGTCTAGAATAGGGTATCATTTTTCAGGAAACTGATCAGTTGCGGCTCCTGTCGGTTGAAGATTTTATCTAGAGTAGGTAAACAGCTACTCTAGGATAGGGGGATTTGGGGAGTTTACTCTAGTATGGGGTAGCAAAATTCAGCTGAACTAGCTCTGGTATAGGTTAAGGGTTCAGGGTCCCAGGGGCACATCCCCACCCAGAAATTCTTAAAGTACCCCCCCGGGGTTCTAGACTATTCTCTTTCTCAGAGTGGAGCTACTGTCCCGGAGTTTAGTTTAGCTTTCTGTACCTCTGGTGAGACAGATTTCTCGGTGAGTATTTCTATGTAGCAATTTATGATTTCTAGATTCAAAAATTCAGTTTCCGTCCTTGAGATGTCATAATTGCAGGAGAGTTTTCTGGTTCTCTTATTCCTCTCGGAAAGCGAGAATTATGGCGGCTTGATTTGTTGTCTTGCACTTCTTCCTCGTTCCTTTGTGCTGGTACGCTGTTTCCGAGAGGCAAATGTTGCTATTTTTTGCGGGAGATTTAGTTGGAGTAGACAAACATCTCTTTCAAAGGGTTTCTCTTGTCAGGCCCGGTTCAGACGCCGTACTTTTCATGAGCCGAACCTAATACATTGAATTAAGTACATGAAAAGTTCGGCGTCTGAAACAATTAGGAACGCCTGTTTCAATTTGGAACGGCTCAGCCGTTCTTTTCGCCTAGCCCGGCCGGGAATTTTGCCTTTGGATCGACTTTGGAGCGCCTTTGATTCAGACGCCGAACTTTTCATGTACCGAACCAAATGCAGAAATACTTATGACGTATTTTGTAAGCAGTTTGAACGAAATGCGCATTTTTCGCCTTCTGAATTTAGTTCGGCTGGAATTAAGATCGGCGTCTGAATCACTTTAGCCGGTCTAAATAATTTGGGTCGGCCTTAATTCGAATTAGGTTCGGCTCATGAAAAGTTCGGCGTCTGAACCGGGCCTTACTTCCATGACTCTACCACTGAATAGGCCTTATCACGGTTTTCGACGCCATCTTGACGGGTAGGCAAGTAGGCGTAAAATTACAGTGTTTGTATGAGAATCCGACGTCGAATAATTTTCGTAAAACGTCCGTTCTGAAAAAACCATGAAATGTAAACTAAAGTTATTATATTAGAGAAAAGATTCTTCTCACAAAATTCGAGGGCCTCGCCTGCCCTAGAATCGCTTCTTTTAATGACCTTTAATCTCCAATACATTTGTCTGTAAAAATTAAATGTTTTCCCGCCGACTAAATTTCCCGGGAAAAATTATAGATAAATGTATAGAAAATCTAAAAAGCTATCGAGAACGTTTTAGCGCGGATACAGCCCTCAAAATTTGTCAGTAGAATTCTCTACCTTGTAGCCGTTAGTTTACAATTTATATTTTTTTCCAAACGGACGTTTTACGAAGATTATTCGACATCGGATTCTCATACAAACACTGTAATTTTACGCCTACTTGATACGGCCTATTATATTTTCGTTCTACTACTCGCCAATGTCGATGTTATTCCAAAACAAAAACAAGT